GAAGTCTCTGCCTGTCCCACAGGGCCATAACATGGGCTGTGTGTTTTCTTAGAAGTGGCTTTAAAGGTTGCTGTGGGATCCAGTCTCAGCTTGGTGCCTGCTCGTCATGGGCCAAACGCTGGCAGCCAGGCTGTGGGGAGAGCCCACGCACAGCCCCCGAGTTTGATCTCCTAAGAGCAAGAGCCAGGCAGGACTGTGTTTTGCCTTGGCTAGTGATGAAGACGAGACCATGTTTGCTCTCTTGCCATGGCCAGCCTGGAGGACAGAGCTGCTCTGTTAGCAGGGTTACCAGCATCCTTCGAGCTGGTGGGGGTGGAAATTGAGAGGTTCGTTTGTTCTGCAAACCCTGGTGCATGCTCTTCTCCTTCCATCATCCTTCTGTCTCCTCTCTGCTGGGGTAATCAGGGCACCACCCCCTCTCATGGTAGGTGTCCCAAGGATCCTTGGGCCAAAGGACTTGTGTAGTCCCTGTTCCTGAGCATTGTCTGCCCTGGCGCACGTGGTGAAAGCCAGCAGTGTCCCTTTGGTACCTCTGGATGCGTTTTCCACATGAGGCCATGGTGGGGCTGCTGGTGGTGGTTGGTGAGGGCACGGTTGCTCTCCAGCCCTGTCAGCACATCCTTTGACCCCAGAGTGGCAGTTCCAGCACTTCGGTTTAAAGCAGGAACCTTTTTAATGTGGTCAAACCTGGCTTTCCCTGTCCAGTTCCATTACAAGTGGTAAAGCGAGGTTTCCGGAGGGCTGTGGAAGCACGGTTTCTATTTGAATATCTAAACCGTGCACAAGACCAATGGGATTTAGGTGCTGGGTGGGGTTTGGAGGACTGGGCATCTGAGCTGCGCTGCAATGGGAATGGGGAGGACACCGAGGTAATTTGCTGCTTTCTGAGAACACCAGATGCATCTCAGTGAGGTTTCTTTGGTCTCTCCCTGCTCGGTTTCGTGGGGTAACATCAAAGGAGGCTGCCAGTGGAAACAAATGGAGACCGAGGTAACACCTCATCTCAGGAGAGCCTCGGGAGCCCTGGCCAAGGGAAACCCGCCTTCCCGGCTCCGATGGGGCTGGCAAAGCCTGCTCTTCCCAGCAGAAAATGTGTGGCTGTGCTAACCTTTTCCTGGGCCGTGTAATTGCTGTGTGTGGATGGGTCTGTTGGCCACTGCCCAGGGCAGCTGCTTATGGCAGAAATGAGGGCAAGTGCCAGCGGGATATTGCAGCCCAGAAGGTTTTAGGGAAGGACCTGGGTGTGGGTTAAAATGGTCAGTCCCCAGGAACTGGCAAATGTCTCAGAGGCTCAGGACCACAAACACCCTGTGGTTCACTGCATTTCCCCTGTCCCATCCCTGCCGCCACCTCTCCTGTGTCCCCTGCGATGTGGCCGTGAGGTGTCACCTGCGTGGCACCCACCAGCCCACCCGGGGGTGGGAAAACTGGGCTCTGACTGTAGCACCAGCCCTGCCAGGAGGATCTCAGGAGTTTCAAAGCATCCTCTCTGCTGAGCTTGGCTTGCCTCCAGCAGTCCCTCGCTCCAGCACCCAATTCCTCCTGGGGAAGTGTAATATTCATGAAGGAGACACGTTCATTAGCAAGCCGTCTGCTCCCTGCTTTGGCATGTGGGTAGGTGGTGTTACCTCTGGAACCAGGTTGGAATCCGTTGGTATTTAGGTGCATTTGATTTGCAAGAGCTCGGAGGTCCCTTGAAGAGCTCCCCTAAAGCCTGTTGAGCTGCACACAACCTTCATGTTACGTGTTTGCTCTCCGTAGGTCTGGGGCACGCAAGGAGAGCTCATTTCCAAGCAGGCGTCCCCCAGCCGTGTGAATAAACTGCAGGGAGCTGAGTGCTGTTGATCAGAATGGATCCTGTCATTCATGGACACATCCCTCCTTGCATCCGCAAACAGATCCATGATTTTCTCAGACTTTGCCATGGGAATTGCTCAGGGGAAGCCGATTCTCACGTTGCACTTTGTCTTTGGTTAGAAGCTTAACAAATTCCAGTTATGCAGCTTTGCTGCCGTCCCCAGCCTCCAGGAATATCACTGCCTCTGTCAGAGTTATAAGCCCAAGGGTTGTGTTTCAGCCTGTTACTGAACCATGGCAGCATGGAAGTGAACACAGAAAGATACAAACACCGTCAAACCCACTTAATTTCAAATCAGTTCTTGGCTATTTCTACCACCAGCACGGTTCCAGTGCCAGTAGATTGCTCCTCAGATATCAGTAAGTTTTGGCAACTTCTCTTCAGCAAAAGGAGACAGGATCTCTGGAATCCAGCTTTTCTTTTTCACCCAGATCTTTTCAAGAAGTCTCCCCCTTCTGCTCATTCTAGGATTAAGAAGGTAGGGAGTGAAGGTGCTAAAAAAGGGCTACAAATATTGCTTGCGTTGTAGTTGAGAAATTAAAGTTTCTTCCCTTTTGTAAATGATTTCCAATGGTTTCAACGTCATCTTTTTTGTCTTTTGTTTATGTCACAGAAAAAAAGTGAAAGGGAAAAAAGAGGCAGAAATAATGAAAAGGCCAAAATGTTTCAGGTTCTGGTTCGTCTCTTAAGAACTTTAGAGTAAAGCAGTGGCTCATGGTGACTTCTGGGAAAAGGAAGAGAAATTCCATTTTCTCCATGTGATTTTTTTCTTTTATTTTTTCCCCTACCCACTTGAAATAATTCATCCTGCCTTTAATGCAAAGGTTTGATCTGGGACCTGGGGCAGAATGTGAGTGTTTGTGGGTGTGTTGGCAGGGCCATCCGTAGTGGTACAAAGGTTTTGGAAGGGCAGCATGAAGCCCTGGCACTGCAGGACGGGCTATACTGGGATTCTCACTGGGTGAAACCACGACGGGTGCTGCTGGGGTGGACAAGGAGGTGAAGATGCCAGCCCAGAAAACCTTTAAATACCTCCAGCACAGGAGCTCGGTCCCACTCCTGTTAATGTGGGAGCTCCCTGGGGATGCCCTTTCCAAGGGTCAGCAGCCTGGGCACCCAGCATCCTCCAGGACAGCTCCTTGCCCTCCCTGCCCTGGGTATTTTGCTGGGCATCAGAGGGATCAGAGTTAAAACCCAGCTGCAATGTGGGCTGTGTGTCCTCCCTTCCCTCGGAGCCCCTCTGGAAGAGGTTCATCACTAACGCCATGTTTCTCGTATTTAAAAGAAGGTTTCTGCATCCATGTGCATCCCCACTGGGTGTCCACTGCAGGACCTTGACCTCGGGGTAAACAGAGGCTTTACTGAGCCTGTGAACTCCTGGTTACCCACAGCACGAGGGTGCTTCCAGGCCGGGTTCAGCGAGAGGGACTGAGTTGGGTGAGTTGTTTCCTTCCTGCCTTTGCTGAGCCTTTTCCCACCGGTGTTGCCCAGCTCATCAAGCATCAGCCCTGTGGGGCTGCTTCTCCACGGCACCTTACTCGGAGCAGAGGTGTTGGGTGCACCCAGCTGCTCCCTGCGGTGCCAGCCAGCTCTCCGGGAGCAGAGAGCCATCATTTGCTGGTGCCTTCAGAAGCACTGACCGCTGTTGTGCCTGCTTTCCCCAGCTGATGGTGTTGGGAAGCAGAAGGCTTGCTGGGAGAGGATGACTTCACAGAGCTGCTCTGGGAATTGGTCACCGTCTCCTCACAGCAAGGGCTGCTGGAAGGGAGCCCAGCGGAGCACTGCCAACGATGTCTTCATCCTCATACCCCGTTACAGGCAGGGTTTGCAAACACTGGGGCGATGCTGTTCACTGAGGAGCCAGCCAGCTCGGACAGTGATGCTGGGGAGGGACTCTTCATTAGGGGCTGTAGTGACAGGACAAGGGGTAACGGGTTCAAACTGAAACAGGGGAAGTTTAGATTGGATCTAAGGAGGAAATTCTTTCCTGTGAGGGTGGTGAGGCACTGGAATGGGTTGCCCAGGGAGGTTGTGAATGCTCCATCCCTGGCAGTGTTCAAGGCCAGGTTGGACAGAGCCTTGGGTGAGATGGTTTAGTGTGAGGTGTCCCTGCCCATGGCAGGGGGTTGGAACTGGATGATCTTAAGGACCTTTCCAACCCAAACTATTCTGTGATTCTATGATTCTGTGAGTAATGTGGCTTTTGGTGGCTCTGCTCAAAGCCCTGAGAGCCTCAAGGTGTGTTTTGGCTGATGGGGTTGGATGGCTCCATGGGAGTGGATAAATGAAAGGAGGAAGCTGGCTGTTTGGCTGCTTTTCTGAAAGTAAGTCAGCTTTGCCTGACTGATGAACCCACTATGGCTGTTTCTGGACCCCCCAGCTCTGCAAGATGAGGATTTCCCCACTTACAGATGTAATGATGGTCTCCAGCTGCACCTGAAGCACAAGACAGGAATCTCCTAATGCAGCTCAGCAACCTTGGGCTCAATTGATCACTGGTAAAACAAACCCAGGCCTCAGCACTCTCTTAAGATATCCCTGCAACCCACAGTCACAACAGAAGAGTGTGCAGAAACACTCCAGTCCTGGTACAAGGGCTGCACGTGGCCCATCCGCTGTGTGTTGTACAGGGAGAGCTCCTGTCTTGTCCCATACCCCACACTGGGCTGCTTTTGCAAGAGTGAGAAGCAGGTTCATCAAAGGCATCTCTGCTGGAGAGCCCAAGATGCTTTAAAATTACCTGTTTTCCATTGGGAAGGGGAAGAGATGCAGAATAAATGGTTCTTGTAAGCTGTCTCACATGGAACACCGAAGGGTGGAGGCAAGTGATTAATGAATCTCTCTATAACCCTGTTAGAAGGGTGCTGGGCACAGCGCTGAGAAGCAGCTGTGGAAGGCAGCTGCCTTCCTTGCTTTGATCCAAACCAATGTGAGCACCCATGCCGGCCATCCAGAGACACAGGCTCATGCTGGGATCCTGCAGTGCCAGAACCTGAGGTGAGAGACGCTTCTCTTTGAGTCGGGATCAGTAATCTCTGGATATAACTAGAAACAAATAGGCATCCCCCATGCTCCCCCACGGAGAAGATGTGGCAAAACCTTCCCTGGGTTCTGGTTAGTGCTCTAAGAAGAACAGGGGATGTTTCTAGCAACTTGTCTTCCAGGCATTGAACCAATTTCAGTGCTGTGGTTTATTATATTAAATCATTATGGGATTCAGCTCATTTACCCTGTGCTTTTTCACACCCTAGGTGACCACGTGGTGGCAAGTACAAGACGAAGCAATGGGAGGTGGGCTCCATGCCCAGCTCCACCACTGCCACGAGGCACGACCGTGCCTCCAGCCCTCTACCCGGTGATGGTGAGCCCAGAGGTGTTGAGGTTTACACTGGCCGTGCACTGGGCATCCCTAGCAGGGGATAATGCGGGGCAGTGTCCGGAGCACTCTGGGAGCCCTGGGAAGCTGCGGTGCGCAGGGAGCCGGGAGCTGTTGCATCTTGCTGTGTAATGAAACACTACCACACCTGTGCAGATTTCCCCATAGCCTGGGGCTAGGGTGGAAATGTGTTGGATCATTAAGTCAAGCTCCTTAAGAGCTACTTGAAGATGGAAGATGTGAAATCAGGCATATGAAATGGAGATCGTGTCTAGACGATCCCCTGAGCATCTGCCCGCCTCGAGCAGAGCTGCTGTTTGCAGTAACTCTGGTTCTTGGCTTGTGCCCCTGGAGGGACAGGCAGAGCTTGCTCGTGCAGAAAGCCCAGCTATGCTTCTGCTCCACTCTTCCAGAGCAGTTGGGGCTTGCCTGGAAAGGCCAGGATGTCACCTTGCATTGAGGAGCCAGCCAGCGGGCTCAGGTTTGTCGTGCCTGTTAAGACAGGAGCTAAGGGGCATCCATCTAGGCAGAGGCATGCGGAGCTGGATGCAGACTCCAGGTGCTGGTCTTGAGGCAGCATCAGTCCTGCTTTGTGGAAGCATGCATCCCCAGGGTTTGTGTGTTGCTCCTTCGCCTTCTCTTCCCAGGGAGTGAGCTAACTCCTGGAGCCAGGAGTGTGCTCTGGGTCTGATAATGCAGTATCTTTCCCTTTGGTAGTCAAGACTGCAGGGTAGCGAGCTAATTGCAGGGGATATTTCACACCACATGTTCATCCTGCAGCTCCTCAGCGCAGAATGACATCTTACCCCTGGGTGAGGGGGTGGATCAGATCACGGGAGCCACAGTTTTCCCTTGGAGACTTGTGCAGAGCTGAAGCAGCTCCAAGCACAGCTCCCAGGCTCAGTGCCAGCCCCATGCCAGGCTGTGCTGGTGCAGGGGCTGGTGGAGCATCCAGGTTTTGGCTGGCAGAGGAATCCAGCCAGGCTGCTGGTGCTACAAAGGCTGCAGGATCCTGCTGCAAGACCAGCTCAGCTGCTTCTTGCAGAAGAGCTGTCTGCTCTGGTGCAGAGCAGGGCCAGGCACTGTTTACTGGTAAGGAAGAGGAGAACGGGCTCAAACCTAGATTTTTGGGAGTGGCTTTTGCTTGGAGTTTCTGTCTGTGGTGGCTGTGGGGGACCGTCCATAGTATCTTGATGGGTCAAGCATCCCCAGCCCATGATGAGCATGTTTTGTAAGGCTGCTCTCTTTGGTGCTGCCTGCTCTCTCCATGCAGCTTGTTACTAATGAATCTCTGCATCCTCCCTAGGAGACAGCTGATGCTGGTGCGGCATGAGCTGGGCTATGTGTGCTACCCAGGGTGCCCAGTGGAAGGGCTGTCACGTTGCATCTGAAACCCAAACACGATGAACCTGGTGTCTGCTAAGCTGCAAGGACCAGGCACAGGCTGCTCCACTGCCTGCAGAAGGCACCTGCAGCAGCCAGTAATTGGCTGCTTCTTACTGCTGAAGCATCACTGATACTTTTCACCAGCAGCTCCTTCTTTCTGTAACCACGGCTCTGAGGCACTCACTGAGCTAGGGCCGAGGGAGGGGGAGCAGAAGGTGAGGCTGGTGGAGGAGCAGCAGGCTTTCAATGCAAATACACGAGACACGGGCAACTTGTTTTCCTCCTGCTTTGCCCACGTAGCGAGATGCCAGGCTGGGATCTTCCCCTTGTGTCTGCGTGGCACCGGGCTGGTCTGTAAATCCCTGTCCCCTGCATGGGGACAAGTGCAAACCCACTGCCTCTTCAGGTGATGTTCAGCACACACTCCTTGCGCTCCTGCCACCTCCCTGCAGTCGTAGCTCAGAAGCTCAAGCTGTAGCATCTGCTATCTTTAGTTGTACAGCTCCAAAAGGCGTATTGGCTTCATCACATGTTTAGCACTGTGGGATGTGCCCAAATATTAAGTAACTTCCCAAGCTGGGTCTAGCTCAGATTAATGGGATCTAGAACTGGTTTCTTTCCACTTGGGTCACAGAGAGCATTTGGCTAGATAATTAGAAGAGATGCTGCCCTCCCCAGCTTGCTGGTGGGAGAGGCAATAGTCAGCAGGGAATTGGGTTGAAGGTTCACTGGAAGAAAAATAAAGTGCAAGTCTCCTAGAGATGTTTCACTGGGCCTGAAGATACCTGAAGCAGTTTGGAGAGGATCAGAACTGATGCTAGATGGTTGCCCGTCACTGTCAGAGGGGATATTTGGAAGCAAAAGCCCAACTCCAGAGCTTGATTCTGGGTTCCTTTTTCTTAGGAAGGGGGCTCAGCATTTGGGACCTGCTGCTCCCTGGGCAGCCCAAGAGGGTGAACAACACAATGGCTGTCCCCCCTCTCCCCAGAGCAGCCTCGGGCAGCTCCCATTAGATCATTTTGAAACCAGCCCTGCTTGGCCTCTGTGTCCGATTTAATCAGCATGACCGAATAGTTGCCGACGGGGAAGCCTTGTTTGATTGTGGAGGTAATAAGAGGATTCGAACACAAGAGCTGATAGTTTCAAGTAAGTGAAACTTAACCTCGCCGTATAAAGCGTTATTGTCCTGCCACAGAAATCCTCTGTCCCGGAGAGCGCAGCTGTGGGGAAATAAATGCTGCTCTTCTTTTTAATTCCTTTCTTTCTCTTTTTGCTGTTTGTTTGTTTCAGACGCGGGGACCTCGGGTTGGTTTGCTGCCGTTGGCTGTGATGGAGCACTTGGTGGGACGTGGGCACTAAGCGCTGCCCAGGGGACTGGCGGGCAAATTCCCCTTAGTCCAGGGAATTAAATCCCAAGCAAAGCCATTGATGGTTGTGAATTCAGTTGAGATCCAGGCCAAATCCTTTCCCCATTGAAGTTAAGCGTGAGCTTTAGCTGCTGGTTTCAGAGGGGTCAGGGCTGCGACCTGCAGCTGTGCTGCTTTTCAAGCAGTTCAGGCAGGCTTTATGAAGGAAAAGGGGCTTTTACTTCTTTTGCTCAGTTTTATTTGTTTAAAACCTCCTGTTTTCTGGAATTCCTCACCCCCGCACATCAGGGCGGACAGGCAGGGTCTCAGCCCAGCCGGGTTTGGCCACTCTCAGGAATCCCCATGGGGATTTCCTTTCTGGCAGAGCTGGGATGCTCTCTTCCCGCTCGTAGATGACATAAAAACATTTCTTCCGACTAAGTTGCACTTATTTATTTGTCCAAACAGAGCAACCCAAGCCTCTGTTTGTGTGTGCTCAGAAAGCCACTCCTCCCACCCCTGCAAAGTATGTGAAGGGCGATAGAAGGATGAGAAATGTCTGGCCAACGGGAATGCTTTGGGGTGAATGAACGGGAGTTGTGAATGGGAATGGCTCTGTGTGAGCCGCGCTGCAGCACTGGTGACTTCACTCCACGTAAGACCAAAATAAGCAAGGCGATGCCCTTGTGTCCCAGGGCAGAGGCAAAGACCCTGAGCTCCCCGCTCGGGAAACCCCTCGCTCAAGCAAGATGCTTCATCCAAGGTTTTGTGCTGGCATGGATCGAGGTCTGGATTAGAGCTTGACGGCTCGCGCTGAGATCCGTGCTCGGCTCAACACCGTCTCGCAAAGAGGAAGCAGCGATTCGTAAGGTGCTGTGGGAATCGGCTGTCCTGCTCCTCAAAGCTGCAGCTTGCTCACAGCACGTCTGTTGAAGGTGTCGTAAGAATTTTACTGCTGGGGACTGGCATAATGTCACTTTGTCATTAATAACCAGGGAAAGCCTCAGAGACTCTGTCTGTACCAAGCAGTAGCTCATGCGCTGGTAAAACCCTGCTGCTGTAAGCGTGTTTTGGGACAAATGTGAGTTTTTGTCTTTGCTCTTGGGAGCTGGCAAAGCTTTATTGTCTTTCATTCTTGCTCAAGCAGCACCTCCAGGAGCTCCTCGCGCTTCTCCAAGGGAACCTTTTTGCCGTTTCCAAGTAGGTGCTTTTTAAAAAGGATTAGAAAAATGAAATGAAATCCAGGAACAGTCAAATCACCTGGTTCCGGATGGATTGTAAACCAACCCTTCCTGGAGCAGTCTGTTAGAAACATGGGCTCTTCTGACTCTGAACCCACAGATCATTTGTGACCTGGGTGAGAAACACGTGCAGCTTTGGTGGGGCTGAATTTCCATCAGCAGGGACATCCTGAAAGGTGAGGGGTTTTCTTTTCAGCCCAAAGTTGGGCTCTGGGGCAGGGATCATCCCCGCTCGGTATCCCTGCTGCTTTTGCACTACGCCCTGGTCATGCTCAGGATCCCCTTCTCTCCAAATGATTTTCCATGGGGACTTTGGCTTTCCCAGTTAGCAACCCCAGCTCTGACAAAGGCATTTCCAACAGTGAGGTGTATGAGGTGATGGGGTTGCCGAGGTGCTGTACCTCCCAGTGCACACCAGCCAGTGGTGGAAGCAGGAGGAGACATCAGGTCCTGAGCCCAGTGCTCATTTTCTCCTCTTCTCCAGGTGATACCAGGGCAGAGGCTGCCTCTCCTCCCATGAGCACATGAGACCCAACCCCATGAGTTGCTTTGCATCCCCTCAGTTATTTTCTCTGGTTTACGGGCATCTTCCTCAGTCTTTGTTTTTGAATGCTTTGGGGTTTGCTTAAAAACACTGCAGCAGCAGGAGATGTTTTTGACAGAAGATCCAGTCCTCTTCCTTGCGTGTCCTCAGCACAGAGGCAGCAACTGTGAGCAGAAAACCCCGGGTATTTTCCGGGTGACGTGTTTCCCATCTGCCACTGTTGTGGGCACAGGGAGATGCAAGCGCACTTGCCCCAGAGCCGCTGTAAACTTTGCTCTGCTGGCTGCACGCGTGCTCCCCTTTCCCAGGGCTGCAGAACCGAGTCTCCAAGCTCACACAAGTTTCATGATCCAGCTTTTCCGGCCCACGCCTGCCATGACCCATGCCACAAGCAGCCCAGCTTGGCTCCGCATCCTTGGAGGGGCTTGTGATGGGGGCTCCATGGACCTGGACCTCGCATCTCTCCTAGCCCCATCTGCAGCACGTTTGCAGTCCCCTCAGGGCTTGCTGGTGTCCCAGGACCCCAGCACTCCTCAGCCTGAACCTCTAGCCCTTCTGTGCTTCCTTTCTGCTCTCTGCTGCCCATAATGAGGAGCAGATCTCAGACACCGGACCCACGTAGCAATGGGAACAGTAGTCGATGTGGTTTGGACTGACTAAGAAGGAACTCGGTAACGGGTAAGCCCAGGATGGGTGTGATCTCCCTAAAGGCCTCCCGGAGTCCTTGTCTTCTCAACTCAGGGTCCTTCAGCAGGTACCAGACTCAGATCCCAAGGAGCTCCAAGTCATGTTTCACTTCTGCAGAGCCTTGGCCTGCCCGTGTCAAGCCAGAGGTGGCTGATGAAGCTCCTGTTGTCTTCCACAGGGATCCAGAGCAGGGGCCCTGGCTCTGCTTGCATTTCCCCAGGTAGAGGTAGGTTCAACTGCCAGCGTAACATCACTTGTCTCCAGCAGAGATGCAACAAGCAGAACAACTAGGCTAAAACAGGGGAACTGGGCCAAACCAGGGGGGTTTATCTGCCTTGTCTCTCTCGAAATCTATTTTTCTTTCTGTGTTTGGTGACCTGTGCCTTAGCCCAGCTGGAGAAGAGAGCTGTTTTACAATGCATGGCTGGAAAAGAGAGGCTAAATCACAGAGTTTTGGCAGTGTTTGGCTGAAGGTGGGGTTTGAGCACAGTACCAGTGACAGGAGATGCAAAGGCTCAAGCAGCCCCCCCAGCAGCCTCCCCAGCAGCTCCCAACCCATCTGCACCTCTCCTAGAGGCAACCCAGCACTGGAATAGGGATTTCTCTGTGTGTGCTTTGATGGGAGAAGAGGAGGGTTGCATGGAAATAGCCTGATGTGGGAATCTGCTCGTTTTACCAAAAGGGTTAAAGTCTGCTCCCTCCTTTTAGACTGACCATGGAAAATACTGGTCATGCCAGGGACTAAATGCAGGACAGAAACTAGGGCTCCTAGGATACTGTAATACAAATAATACAGCTTGTTCCATGAGCTGTGGAAAGCAGCAATGCCTGGTTTCCAGTGGGGTTGTGTCGCAGGGTAAAGGGTGCACATGGGTTCTTGCTGGCTGGTAGGAGACAAACACATGCTCGTCATCTCCCCATCAGCCACCAAGCTTCACAAAACTGCATTTGTACAATAACTGGGAGCCCCTGTACAGTGTGGCTGGAAGCATCCACCAAGAAGGAGAGGCAGAGGGGAGGGTTGTGCGGATGGCATGCCTGCATAAACCCTGTTTCCATGGAACGTGAGGCTGCAAAATAAAGAATGCAGGCAGAGCATCCTCTGGGGAAGTTTAATGACATTTCCACCAGTTTCTGCCCCACACTATGCATCCGCTTTGTGATGATGCTCATTTTGCTGGAGGCAAAGGCACCTTGAAAGGCAGAGCGAGGGGCTGAGGTACTTTGGGTTCACAGGTGAGTGGAGGCATTGTGGAGCCTCTGGCGTCCCCTCTAAG